GTCTAAGGAGGCTGAAAGAGGAGAGCTATGGCCCAGCTCCAGAGGCCATTCTGGGCAATGCAGTAAGACTTGATTAAGAAAAAAAGTTTTCATAAAAGATAATATATTCTACCTTAGAAAACACCCAGGTGCTGAAGCGATGGCTCAGTTGGTAAAGTGCTTGCTATATCCACATGAAGACCTGAGTTGGGATCTCCAGAAGTCACATAAAAAGCCAGGTACAGCGGTGTGCACCTAGGAAGCCCAGCATTAGGGAGGCAGAGATGGGGAGGTCCCTGGAGTTCACGAGTCATCTAGCCTAACTGAATCAGCAAGGTCTACGCTCAGCGAGGACTGCATCTCAAAAACTAAGATAGAGAGTCATTGAGAAAGACACCCCAAATTGACCTCTGGCCTCTATACATGTACATCTTCAAACATATATGCATACACATGAACACACACAAGACAGAAAGAAGGTGAGGCAAAGGCAAGGCAAGCTCAGGGAACTACTGAAGAACCAGGAAGGTATAAAGGTATTATCATGCTGATGGAGTTTGTAATTTTTCAAACTCACACATTTTTGGAATCTTGACTCCAGTTTCTCTCATTGTGTGATCCAGGTTGGCTTCAAACTCACAGTGAATCTTCTGGATTACAGATGAGCCACCACACTGCTCCATTTCATCCTCCTGGAACATTATTATACTTGAGTATTCCCACGCAACTGAACTCGCTTCTACTTTTTAAAACTTCCATTTTCCTCACAATGTTAAACTCACAGAAAAGGCTCACAATGACATGTGCTCGGCCACTTCCCTCTGCTTGCACTCTGGCTTCCGGCTCCTCTTCCAGCAACTAGTTCCCTTCCTGATTGAGCAGACGGCTGTTGTCTGTGACAGTGATCTGTGAGTTTTTCCCCTTTAAATAAATAGCTTCTCTATTGTCCATAATTCCAAAAAAAAAAAAAGAATGACATGCGGCACACACGTGTTCATCACCCAAACTCAGCAGCCATCGCGCTTCTTGCATTTGTTTTCTCTTTTTTCTCTTTCACACCCACCTGCTATTACTGTCTTTTGTTTTCTATCTGGAGAGAAAGCTACTGCTGAGTTCCCTAGAAAACACCCTCTAAGATACATGAGGGGTGCGGGAGGCAGAACTGGACTAGAGCAAGAGAGGACGCAATAGATCCTTCTAGAAGCTGTCAAGCTAGGCTCTCCTCACAGTTACTGTCAAGAAGCAAGAGAGCTGGACCACAGCCCATCAGTACGCACATCCTCAGGAGGGACCATGACGCCAGACAAAGAGACTCTCTCCTGCTATAATGATTTCCCAGAGAAGAACAGGGGTAGGGACCTTAGACACCAACTTTCCAGCAACTGAGGAAATGAAGCACCATGACCTTGGAGGAAACGTTCTAGAAGCCCCACTCCAGAGACACCTCTCTTTTGCTCTGTTGTCCTGCTTCTGGCTATTTCTTGTTACCAGAGACAGGGTGTACAAATATATTTTTTTTCTTGAAAGGTGAATTTTTAGGGTTTGCTGAGGAAAGACAATTTTTAAGAGTGATAAGAATAAAAAAGAAAAACAGGCATTTAGAAAGATTTAAAAAAAAAAACTAAATGAAGCGGGTAGATAAGAAAGGAAGGAAGGGCCTACTTTATTACTGGGGGTCTTTGGAGAGGGAGTTAAGGCAATTTCATTTCAGCCTTTTGTCCATAAACACATGTGACCCAAGTAACAGCTACCAAGTGGTCTCAAGAATAATGGGAGAATTCACAAACTGTTAAGTGCTCAGTTCCAGAACAAAGAGACAGCTGAGTGAGACTGCAGTGGGGGTCCCCAGTACCCAAGCTGGGGAGTAGCTGAGGGGCTGGACGCTTACCTGACATGTGAGAAGCTCAATCCTCAGTAAGCACGTGGGAACACACACAGACATGCATACACATGCACATGCATGCATACACATAGAGACATGTATGTACACACACACACAAGATTTCCATAACTCAACATGCAACACTCAGTGAGATATTTTTAAGACAAAACTAACTTTTAAAAGAAACAAAAGAAAACCCACTGATGCCTAGCCTGTCATCAGAGAGGCTTCCCCCAGCAACTGATGGAAACAGAGGCAGAGACCCACTGCCCAACATTAGGTGAATCTTGAGGAATCATGTGGGAGAGGGGAAGGAAGGATTATAGGACCCAGTGGTATCAAGGACACCACAAGAAAACTCACAGAACCAACTAACCTGGGCTCACAGAGCCTGAACCGATAACCAAGGAGCCTGCATGGGACTGACCTAGGCCCTGTGCATATATATTACAGTTGTGTAACTAGGTGTATAACTCCTAAAAGTGAGAGCAGGGACTGTCACTGATTGTGCTGGCTGTAGTAATAAGGGCTGCGGGGCTGCATCCCCAGCACCCCGGCAGCCTGGCTAGCTTATGCTCCGAAATAACAACACACAAACTGTATTCATTTAAACACTGCTTGGCCCTTTAGCTCTAGCCCTTACTGGCTAATTCTGATATCCCGATCAACCCATCTCTAATAATCTGTGAGAACCGGTCTTACCAGGAAGATTCTAGCCTAGTCCATCCTGGGTCGGAGCTTCATCCCGGGAGCGGGGCATGGCGTCTCTCTCAGGCGTCTGCTCCCCAGAGGAGAGCTGTCGAGACTCTGAGCTCACTTCCTCTTCCTCCCAGTATCCTGTTCTGTTTACTCCTCCCACCTATCCTCTAACCAATAAAATGGGCCAAGGCAGTTCCTTTATTAGCCAATGACCTTCCTCCATCAGCTGGCAGCTTTTGGGGACCATTCCTCCTACCAGATTGCCTCATCCAGCCTTAGTAGAAGAGGAGGTGCCTAGTCTCACTGCAACTTGATATACCATGGCTTATATTTATGGGATGCCTGGTTATATCTGAAGAGAATCAGTGGAGGAGGAGTGGATGGGGATGGGGGACTGGGAAGAGGGCAGTGGGGTGAAACTTTGATTGGAATATAAAAACAAAAACAAGCAAACAAACAAAAAGTAAACAAGAACCTTATATGCAAGTAGACATAATTAAAAGTAACTAACCTTTAAAAGAAAATAAAATGATTGATGGTCAAGAAAAGAAACAAGGCCCAGAATGGCCCTCTTCCCCAAACCCTGTATGGGGAGATGCGGTGCTGGGGTCCTGCAGCATGTGGATGTCTGGAACCTGGAAATTGAAAGGACAGTGTTGCTTTTTCACATTGTCCACCCATTAGAGTGGAAATAGCTAGAGGTGTGTGCAGACGCTGCCACACCGGGAGTAGGAACAACCGGCTTCACGCTGAGGTGGCCAGATTATCTAAAGTATGAGGTTATGTTCCTGCCCTGCGGACCCAGGTCACAAATCCCAAGCTGATAGAATGGCAAAACCCTTCACAAGAGACCAAGAAACAAAGCGGAGTCTGATGTTCTACAGAAAACACATGGCCCCAGCTCAGTCTTCCATCCTTCTTTCTGTAAAAAAAAAGAAACACAGTAAGAAATACCCCAAACTCTAACTTGGTGGAGAAACCAAGCTGGTCTCAGATGTGACGGGAAGAATGAAAAAGATGACAGCCAAGTTCATTGTACTGTAGCCGTGTCAGTTTGTCTACCTCATGCGCCAACTCCTCAACAGTCTACGTCATCGTCACATCAGGAAGGCCAATTTGCAAGGGAAGGACTTAAACAATATAGCCAAGATCACACCAAAACCAGTTCACGTGGCTCCTGAACCATAACTCACAGCCATTAATGTCACTGTCTTCAATAAGCATGTAGCCTATGGGCCACGTGCATCCCAGAAGAGCTAGGAATGTGGGTTAATGCATTCGCAGACGACAGTAGCATGTCAAAATGTCAAGAGTCATCCCTAATGACTGTAGGTAAATAACCAGGCAGGTAAACAAATGCATCCTCACACAGCAGGAAATGAGAAGGAGGGATGGAGAAGAGAGTGGATAAGGACCCCAACTGGAGCCATGAAAGAGGAGTGGCTCCAGGGGTCCTGAAGCTGTCGGAAATTATATTTGCTTACAATTTCCTCTTATAGCTGCTGTTGCTATCATAACGCTGCCAGGCTGACATCATGAGCTCCTTGTTTCCTTACATGTTTCCTCCACTTCGCTACAAAAAGTCCTCCGTGCCTATTTTTCTGTCCATCTTGCCCCGCTTTACACCGATTCGTGGGAATTCTTTATGTACTCTGGACGCTAATCCCTCATCAGTTATATATGTTAGGAAATTTCTCACAGTCTTCTGATCTCTTTCTCCTCTCTATATGGTGGGTTTTGATCTCAAAATCTACGACAGAAAAATCCACAAAAACCGATCAGAACAGTTGGTGCTGGAACAAACCAGACATATAGACCCATGGATCAGAACAGACTGCTCAGAAATGAATCCACACGCTTACGGTCAGCTGAGCATCAACAGTGCCAAGAACACACGGCAGAAAGAGGACAGATGGGTGCTTCAGTAAGAGGAGCTGGGAAAACCAGATATTCACAGGCACAACGAAATAAGACCCTGACTTTACTACGGTGCAAAAATCAACACGAGTAAGACTTAAATACAAAAGCAGCAGGAAGAAAGCAAGGAGACACTTCCTCACACTGAACTGCTTCTGGGTCTGAGGCCAAAATCAAGGTGTCAGAATTCTTGTCTGAGGACTGAGGAAGAATTACTTCCAAGGTTTTGGTGGAATTAAGCTCCTCTTGGCTGAGGGTCCTATTTCCTTGGTCGCTGGTAACTAGGGCCTACTTGCAGCTACTAGAAGCCGCTTACCTTCCTCATCCTCATCTTCAGAACAGCAGCAGCAGTGTGCTATGTCCTGCTCTGACTTGGAACCTCTCACTTTGTCCTCTGAAAGTGGCTGGAGAAGGCGCTATGTTTCTGAGTGCTGCGATTAGATGAAGTCCACCTGAACGACCTGCCACCATGTAATGCAGCAATTACGGGTAATCATCCACAGCTTCTACCCCGGTGGAGGAGGTTAGACACAGGACACTGTGCTGGCAACAGAATATTGCCTACCACACGGCACACTCGCTAGCTCCTTTGTTGTTTATTTACAATCTGCGCTGTCTCCAGGGCTGAGAGCATAGTTCAGAGGTGAGTGCTGTGTAGTATGGATGAGGCCTGGAGTTCAAGGCCAAGAACCACAGAAGAAGAAAAAAAAATAGTTTCTGTCTATCTGGATTGCTCGGTGGGTTAGGGTATATGCCACCAAGCCAGAGAACCTGAGTTCAATCCCTGGGACTCATGTGGTAGAAGTAAGACCCTATTCCCACTTTCTCTATTATGTCTAAAAAGAGTATCTTTCTATCCTAATATTACAGAAAATACATTTTCCAAAATTTTCTTCTAAATACTTTTAAATTTTACTTTTATGCCTTTGTCCTTAATTTATCTATAATTTTTGTGTGCATGCAAGATTTGAGACAGAAACCCAATCTCATTTTTTTTTAGTGTGTGTGTAGGGGGGTGTTCTATTATTTATTGAGCAATTCCTCCTTCCCTCATAAATCCGAAATTATGTCACTGTCACTTTATTAGGATTGCAAAATGCACAGCTGTTTTCTGGGCACAGTATTCTATTGCATTCATACACGCACCTGCCTGCCTCAATAGCATGCTGTGATTGCCATGTTTCTAGCTTTAATTAGGAAAGAAGCCTTCACCTTTCTTGGGGAATGTTCAGTTTTTCTGTTTTGAGACAGGGACTCACTATGGGACTCAAGATCTTCATGCCTCAGTCTCCCAAGCATTGAAATTATAGATGCGATGTGAACTATTGTGGACCACAGTTTGTTTGGACTTTTCTTGGTGTGCATGCGTGTGTGTGTTTGTGTGTGGGTAAATGTGCTCATGTGGCATGTATTATTCTTGACTTTTTGATTTTTTCCAAACACATTTTATTATCAGTCCATCATGTTCAGTTTTAAAAATCCTTCTGGAAATTTTGATTGTAATTGCACTGAATCGGCAGTTCTCCACTGGAGGCAATTCTGTTTTTTTTTTAATTTATTTATTTATTAAGGATTTCTGCCTCCTCCCCACCACTGCCTCCCATTTCCCTCCTCCTCCCCCGATCAAGTCCCCCTCCCTCATCTGCTTGAAGAGCAAACAGGGTTCCCTGATCTGTGGGAAGTCCAAGGACCGCCCACCTCTATCCAGGTCTAGTAAGGCAATTCTGGTTCACAGGGAAATCTGGCCATGTCTGCAGGCTTCTTTGATTCATTCTCACAATGGTAAAGAATGTACCACCGTCACCAGGGGAGAGGGGGCAAAGAGAATACCCACAATGTATGGCAGTCATAAGAGAATCAACCTGGTCAAAACAACAGTGGTACCAAGAAAGAAAAACCCTCACCATCTCTTCAATTTGGAGACAACTGACATACTTGAATTATTCCAATAAACATGGACTATTTTCCCATCTACAGTTCTTCCTTAGTGTATTTCAATTATGCATCATAATCCACAATGTATTGATCTCATACATTCTAAGATTTGTTCCTCAGTAGTTATGATTTTTAAATTTATAAATGGTATCTTTAAAAATATGTGTATTGGGCCATCTATAAAGGCACCTGCCACCAAGACTGACTGTCTGAGTTTAATTCCTGAAACTCACACAGTGAAAGGACAAAAGCTGATCCCCCATAAGCTGTCCTCCCTCTGACCTCTCGATGTACCATGGCAGCTGCATGTCCACACATGCTGGGACTGGAGAGATGGCTGGGGTTTAAGAGTGCTAACTGCTCTACCAGAGGACTGGGGTTCAATTCCCAACACTAACATGGCAGCTCACAACTGACTGTAACAACAGTTCCAGGAGTCTGATGCCCTCCTCTGGCCTCTGTGAGAATTGAAAGGTATGTCTGGAAATTATCTACCATGACAGTAGCTCAGTCTCCTTCTGCAGTCCTACCAAAGCTTGCTTCCCACTCTTTGAAGTTACTTTACTGGGAATATTTATGCTTAAAAGCTTTTTATCTTCTTGGGGAATTGAATATTTTTAATTACCTTTCTTATTCTGTTCGGTCAGATCTTACTATAACTATACTGGTTTGAATTGTTTTACATTTATTTATTATGGCATCTGTGTGTGTGTGCGCGTGTGTGCGCTTGTGTCGGTTGGAGACAACTTTCACGAACTGGTTCTCTCCTTCTGTGTCACCAGATTTAGTGACAGGTACTTTTTCTCATTGAGCCATTATCGATGGCTCCTGCTTTTCGTTATCATTATTGTTTTAGTTAGGTTATGACATCTTTTCCTATCCCCCATTTTCACCCTCAGCATGAACTTAGACTTGCATCATGCATCTGGATCTCTTTGTCCTCATCTGATAAGTCTCTGCCTTCTCATAGGAGTTCCATCTGCTCATGTCTGTCTTGGTTAATAAATCTGGGATTAATCTCATCAGTTTACTTTTTAAATTTCTACTTGATTTAATGTATGCTTCTCATGTTTGTAAAAATTTTAATATTTTCTTATTACATTTTTTCCTTGTGGGAACTTGCTTCTGAAATAATTATTTTTGGGCATATATTCTAACTTGCTAAAGTAGTTTTCTCTATAAATTTTTCTAATTTCTATTTAAAAATTCATCCATTTAGTACTTAAAATTTCTTTAAAACTGGTTGTGTTGATTCCATGCTTTACTTATATACATGTTTAAACACGTGTCTGCACAGCCTTCTGTATCTGACCATTCTTATGGGATGGTGTGTCCCTCACCTATGTCCTCCTGCTGTGGTGATGCTGGCCTATGAACTTGCTGCTTGACTTCACCTGGTGAAAATCCCAGGGACTCACTGGTGACTTGAGGTGGTTTCTCTCTGCAGAGAACTGCAAGACTCACGTCAGCTCCTATTAAGGGTCTGCATTCAGCACTTCTCTCCTCCCTGAGAAGGCATTCAAAACTCCCCTTCCCTTGCTCGAGGCACAGAGAACTCACTGTTTTCACAAGTGATGCCCGTAAGTGAGTCAATCCCTAAAGCACCGCTGGTACCAAATGCCAGTCCTGCCGACTTCAGCTCACACATTCTCTTCTTACTTTATATTAACGTCTGGAAGAAGTAGTCCTTGGGGACAGTGACTTCTCACACATCCTCTATACGCACTGGTGATCATGCAACAGAAGAGCCCTAGGGTTATCACTAGAAGCAGACATTGAAAAAGTTTCATCATAAGTTAGCATATCATATATTGGGTTGGTGCACACCTGTAATTTCAGAACTTGGGGAGCTGAGACAGGAGGGCTGAGTTCAAAGTAAGCCTGAGCTGCACAGTGACACCCTGCTCCTCTCCTTCACAAAGGAAAAGACACTCCTTTAGGCTATCCATAGCTCTTGTTACTGACACCTCTGTGTGTATGTATGCTTAAAATTATGTTCATTATATAATTTAGGATTGTCACTTAGAAGAGACCAGATCTTTACAATGAGCCTGTATCATTTTACAGGAACAGAGTAACTTTTCCAAAACAAAAACCAAAGAAAGGCATACTTGAAGTCAGTACTCTTAAAATCCATTGGTTTGGGAAGGGCAGGGTATAGACTATAGGGTTTTATGCTTACTTTTAAAATGGCAAAGTTCAACGGTAGGCCTCACCAACCTAAGTGTTTCAGTGGCACCCAGTGTGTGTTATGAGCACCCTCATCTGTTGTTATGCGCGCAGAGGCAAGCAAGCCTGACTCTCCATCAAGGTTGCCAGTGCAGACAGTGGCACCCATGCTTCTGGGAGGACGGCGACAGCAGCGCAACTGCTTCCACAGCCGTCATGTATTGTTTGCACAGCAAGGCTCTCAGGGCACACAAAGCTATTGCTTTCCCCGCTGCCCAGAGGAATCCTCCTTGGGCACAGAGGAAACTACTACAAAGACCACACCTCCCTGAGAGAGCCAAGGTGTCAGCGTGGGTAAGCAATGCTTCTGGAGAGAGCCAGGCTGGGTTGCTACTCTCTGTAGCCTGCTGCTCGCCATCACACAGTAATTAGCCTTCAAAATCAAAACCTCCCAAACAAAAACCAGCCAAGCAATTGACGAGAATTAAAACTTAGGGAAACATCCAAGAGTAGGAATGAGAACCAAAGAAGTAGTGATGTACGAAGGCTTCTTCAGAGCGCTCCTTTCCCTTGCAAATTTACCTCGAAGCAGTCAAAGCAGCTGCTTCAGCTCCAGGCTTTCTAGTGATGCTCTCAATTTCACATCTCGCTGTAACTAAATAAGGCAGAGACATCTTTAAACTCCCATGGATGGAAATTTACCTGCACAATGTCATTGCCTACCTCTCTTTCCTCTAACCCAATGTGGAAGTCATTTTTAGTTCTTCCTTTCTTTTCCAGTAGGACATCCACTTAGCCTGTTGCCTCTTTATGTGGTGCTGTCTTCAAACATGACTGTCCCCTCATCTCTCCTGCCCAGAGCAAGTCCTGTGCCCAGACAGAAACAATTGCTCCTCACAGTCTCCCTACAACCCACGCCTCCTTCATTTCCACACAAAGCAGTAAGAATTATCTCCCCAAAACAGCTGTTTTCTGTAATAAGAGAGCGAAGTTCTGTGACTAAGCTAAACATCCCTCCTGTTCAAGTACTGAACTGCTTCCTAGGTGCAAGTTCTAGCAAATTGAAATTTCCAAATACCATTTATTATGCCTTTTGCTAATTGCTCAGGAAGCTTTCAAGCATCTGCCCACATTTCTCTGCATATTCAAAGTCCATTTCTATTCCATTTAGTACACAAGCAGGTCTTACACATTCAATCCGCCTTCTGCTTGTACACTTCCCCATGGTGGTTGAGATTATTCTACTGTCTCCTCTACTTACTCTCCCCTCCTTCTTCTGACTTCTTTCTAAATAAGTGCACACGCAGCTATCCAATCTTCCTTGCAACCAGGAGTGTCCATGTGGCGAAGTGATAAGCAATATGTAAGCCAAAATGTTAAGTGTGACTTAGCAGGATGGAGCATTCATATCTTCAATACCTCTCTCCTCCTTCTAGTTAGAATACAGCTGTGGTGGCTGGCACTCAGGTAGCTATGCATGAGTTTGGTATAGCAAAGAGACAGAACCTGAAGCTCCTGGCATCCCAGGAAACCACATCAGTCCCCAAACACCTACTCTGCATTACTACAGAAGGAAAGAACTGACCCCTACGTTTAAGGCACTAGGATTTCTGTGGCTACATCTATTGCTCAAGACTTGAGACCACCCACTTTAGATGCTTCTCTCCACCCCTGGGGCTTCCATTTGCTACTTCCTTTGTCCTACTGGGAGGCCCCTGCCCAATTAATTTTCCTTTTCTTATTCTTATCCCCAAATGTCTGCTTTACTTCTTCCTTTAAAGCGCAGCTGGAGATCCAACACCTTCGTGGAAATGTGACTATGGCGATGACACGACACTAAACCCACTCGACCCAGTGCTCCTTCTGAACATAAATGCATACATCTATGTATTTGGTACAGACATCTATGTATCTAGTACAGAAACAAAAATAATCTAACCGAGTTTCTATTACCAGGGCTCCAGCAGCGTCAGCATCTAAACACACACTTCAAGCAGTACTCAGCACAGTGTCACTCCTGGAGCCCGTTGTTGTGAAGCTGACTTGAGAGCACAGTATGTCTCTCAATGTCGCTCCCACTACAGCAGAGCACAGGAGTTGCCTACCATGTGCAGTGCAGGCCCTGGAAAATGGCAGGCCGTTCTAGATATGTGTCTACTGAGTGCATTCTAACAAAGCTCCAGGATTTTTTTCCTTTGAGGCCAGGTCACCTGTGTGGCACAGGCTAGCCCCAAACTCTCAGTTCTCCTCACTGGGCTCCTGATACTGGAGGCTCAGCTGTGGGTCGCTGTGCCTTGGGTTCATGATGGAAAAACAAGTCAGGCCATTGAGAGCTCTTCCTGGTGACTGAGATGTGCGGTAGCACCGGATGACTTGGATTTAAAAACAACTTACTCTATGAATATAAAGCAACAGACTGAAATTTCTTGTGTCCCTCAAAAATATGGCTCAGAGATGAGCTACTTTTGCAGTGACTTAGGGACTCACTTCGTTAGCTTGCTGTCACCCAAGCTGTGCCTGGCTCAGGGCAGGAACATGTGACCTTTCTGCTCCTTCCCCAGACCACCTGGTTCAGCACTGCAGCTAGGTCTCTATTTAAATTCCCCTCCTCCAAAACGTTGCCCCACCCCATATCTGTCCCCAAATAAAGTCATCCCTGTCATTCTGTCCCTGACTGCTTTCCCTTTGGGTAAAGGAAGAATTGCCGTCTAATATGGTCTATGCTATTCTGTGTAGGTGTGCCCCTGGGCTGGCCTCTGTTACAAGTTCCATGGTGAAGGGAATTGTGACTCCCACATCGTTGTTCCTCCAAATTTCTTCTGGCCATTCAAATTTCAAGTAAAAACCTCAAGAAGAAAGAAGTTAGGAAGTGGCCGAAAGAGCCTGGGAGATGGCTCCACGGTAAAGGGCCTGCCATGCAAGCATGAGACCTATGTATATATATATTACTTACAAGAATCCACCTCTGCTTCACAGAGCTGGACAGAGGGCCAAATACAAACAGCCCTGAAGCTGGACTCAGCAGTCAGTACCTGGCTACTGAGCGTGAGGAGCCCCAGAAGTCATGGGAAAAGCCAGTTGCCACAGCACAATCTGTAATCCCAACATTGTGGGGGTGGGGGAACAAGGTGACTCTGGGGCTCCCTGGCCAGCCACCCTCTCTGAATCGACAAGTTCCAGACTCAGTGAGCTACCCTGTCTCAAAAATACAAGATGGGATTTGATTCAGGAAGATATCAGTGTTCACCTTGAGCCTCCACATTCACATGTACCCCCAACATGCACACACCTACATACACCATACACACACACACACACACACACACACGCACGCAAGAAAGGTGATAGAAAACAGTAAAAGGGGTGAAGAAACTCTGAACATCAGTCACAGCTGAGTATTGTGCTCTTAGTGTCAGCTATGGAGTACTTCTTCCAAAACAAAAGGGTCCCCTGAAAAAGATGCTCCACTGCCTGTGGAAGCACTTGGGTTTGCTGTTATGTTACAAAGAGCCCTTCTAATGCCTGCCTTCAGCACAGGTACAAACTGAGCGAACATTTAAGACACTGGACAAAGACAGGGAAGGATGACTTAGGACCAGGTTGTGTTAATATTATTGCTGATACTTTAAGCTTTCTGCGTTTCATTGACAACTGAAATTAACTGGTCATGCTGAATTCCTGTAGCTCTTCTGGGGTCTTGTTAAACAGATGTCTTGGTGGGGTTCAGGCTACTGACACCCCACAGAACGGGTGACTCAGAAACAATAGAAATCATTTTCAAACAGCTCTGGAATATGGCAATTCCGTAATCAGGGTGTCTGCAAGGTCAGGTCCTAAAAAGCCACCTCTTCCCATAGTAGCAGGAAGGTAAAGAGAGCTCCTAGGATCTCTGGACTCAAATCCTATCTTGTGGGGGGTCCTACTTCTGTGACTGAATCATCTTTCAGAGGCAACACCTCCAGTTGTCAGCACACTGGGAAATTCCCATGGGGGTGGGTACAAGCCTTCAGTCCATGGCCATAGACACATGCTGTGATGGGGGGGCAAGCTCTGAAAATCCTCGGATGCACTTTCAGCCCTGAGTTTAGTTGCTTTCAAGAAGCAACTAAGTCAGATTGCATCTGTGGTTTTCTTCTCCTAACTGCCCATCTTCATGCACAGCTCATCAGTGGGTGCTGGAGAAGCTACAGAAGATATCATTCTTTGATGATTTAACAAGATTAATAGGAAAGATCGTTCCACTTCCCTGATAACCTTCTATCTCCGCCAACCCTTGTTTTAAAGATCAGTAATCCAGAGTCAAAGTTTTAGGCAAAGGAAAGCCTTACAAAGAATCATGCTAGGAGAATATTTAATTGTGTTAGAATCTCCAAACATTTAAATAAACATGCCCATGTACCCAGGCCCCTACTCTCAGAAAGTAAACCTCCTCATACTCCAGTTAGAAAAAAAATATTAAACTGAGTAAAGATGCCAAATAACATAGCCGCTAGGCTAACAGTTTTAGCTGAAAACCGGTTTATGTGAATATCCCCCTTCATCTTTGGTCCTTGCAGCATGGAGTCTAATAGTGGGTTAGTCCTGCTGACATGGTGTTGATAATTTGGCATGAGCCTAGTGTCTTATGTTTCGAGCTGTTCTCAGTGGACACCTGTCATGTTCTAGGCCACTGCTTATGTACATACTTTTATTACGTAGACTCGCAATCGTCAGGAGCGAATGTTTCTTCTTGGAGGGAAGGTTTTCTGGGATGAGGACAGAAGCGCATGCTGCAGGCGAGTTCCCCGGAGCAGGTAACCTGGTGGGAAACATCATGCAGTATGAGGTCCGCTGTCTTGTCCAGCTTGCCACTTCCCTCTCTTTAAAAAGCAGCTGCTCATCCATCAGCAGAGTTATGACTTGTTTAGACTTCTCCCGGATATAGCGACCTGAAAAACAGCCAAGAATTTGCTTTAAAATGGATTAAAACTGTAATTAATTTTATCCTAAATAAAATTAAGGCAAAGCTGAAATGTAGCAAAGGGGAAGACAAGTAGAGGACTGTTGATGAACACATTCCTCTCTGTGTCAGCTAAGCAAACAAATCATCAATACATGATGAAATTGCATCTTATCTGGCATTATGCTTTTCATTTTAAATGCATTATTGGATTTTTCTTTGGAAAGCCACCCATACTCTGCAATAAATCACTAGCACAGGCACAGAAGGAAGGTTTGAGCATGAGGTCAGGGGATGGCTCAGTGGGTAAAATGCTCGTTCTGGAAGCATGAGTTCCCAAGAGCCTAGGAGTGTCAGGTGTGCCTGCGACCATAGTGCTGGGGACCTAGAAAAGGAGGGCCAGAGACTCACTTGTCAGTCAATCTAACCAAACTAGCAAGCACCAGGTTTAATAAGAGGTGCTATCTCAAGAAAAGTAAAGTGGAGAAGCAAGTGAGGAAGGCCTCCTGACATCAGCCCTGGCCTCCACAAGCACCTACACAGATGAGCAAGAAGCATGTACACAAAGGTTAGTTTCTCTACTCTCATCTTTTTGCCATTTCTTCCTTTCAAATTTCTTTTGTAATACTTCAAACTCTGTTCTAAACACCCTTAATTTATGGTATATACTTAGGCCCTAACTGAAGAGGCCCACTATGTGTTGGACCCATTCAGTGTCATATGAAAGGCAAAAGTGGCTGGAACTTTAATCCTAGGGGTGATGTCAGGCACTATCTTTTCCTGGGAACAGGGCACAGATTTGAAGATGTGGAAATCCCATGTCTTCTTCCCATTGGCATCTTCAGGAGCTAGCCCCTCTCCTTCTCCTCCACCAATACCTCACCCTGCTGTCCCAAGCCTCTTGCCAACAACACCAAACTCGAGGCAGCTGTTGGTTCTTCCAGGAACTCTGCATGGCTGGATCCCTGACTCATTTGGTCTCTCCTCAGACACCACCTCCTCAGAGCGGCTCTCCTCCTGCTGTCCTCTGAAGAAGCCCCACCCCATCAGTCTATTCCTCATCCTGCTTTGCTTCTTCTGTGGCATCTGTCACTACCTACTATCACCGGTGTGTTGCTTGTTTGTTTTGTCACCTAGAATATAAACCCCGTGAGAGAAGTCTCATTGCACACACTGATGGCACATAGCATATATTCAATAAATATTTACTGAGTGAATGAATCAAGAAGGAAACATCATCAAAAAGTTTCAAATGTTCTCCTTGCTATGGTGTAAATGAAGCAGATTGCTGGAAGATGCTGGGAGCCAATTTACAACTTAGCTGCCTCAGAAAGTTGCTTGGCTTAAAATAGCCTCCTGCAATACCCCCAATTAGAAACTAGAAATTATGGGCTAGATTTGGAACATTCTACTTGGAGTCTGTGGGGATTGGTGGGATGTGGGGGCAGCTAACTGGCTCCAAGTGGCACGCAGGCAGAACAAGCAGACAAGCTAGTTGCACTGGTGCAGGCCTCCTCCTCAGAGCATCACACTCCCCCAGGGAACAGAAGTAGCTTCAGGTAGGCCAGGCCACTGAATTTTGGCCAAAATAAGGAAGAAATCACCCAGAAGTGGGCATTTCACTTAACGCTGCCTACTTCCCCCGGCTCCCATTCCTCTGTCTGGCCACTCTACAGCACTTGCAGGGAAAAGAGAGAAAAGCAGGAAGGAGTCTGTTTCAAGGCAGAGACAAACAAACAACAATAGCAGGGCAGCATCCATTCGCTTATAAGCAATATGTTCCCAAGACGACGTGGAGAAGGGCACAACATAAAACCAGAACAGTACAGGAAGGACAAACGGAGGCAGCAACAGCTTCATGTATGAACTATGAAAGGAATGGGCAGGGTAGAAAACATGGGTTTTCTGAAGTAAGATTCACTCCATGCTCTGCAATCAGAGGGCTCCCTCTTCTTCCTCTGTACCAATAGGATCCATGAGAATGACTGATTGATCGAGTTTGAAACAGTCACATGTGTTGTTATGACAGGGTAGCAATGCATATTGTAGTCTCCCCGCCAGCTGGAAAGCACAGCACAGGGCTTAGGAGATTGTTCAGTGGTTAGAAATACTGGTTGTTCTTGTAGAGGACCGGGTTCAGTTCCCAGCATTCAAAACCATGATTAACTCTTGGTCTAGGAATCCGGCCCTCCCACACTGGTCTCTGTGAGCACCAGGCTTGCACATGGTACACATACATACATGCATGTAGCCAAAACACACACTAAAGTAAATAAATATTTTTGAAAATAAAAGTACAACATGTGACAAAAATATTAATAAGTAAACACACAAAGATTTTTTTAAAAAGACTTAGAATGAGGGCAGAATTAATGTGGCAGAAGGAGGATCAAGTAGAAGGTCACCTTGGGGCATCCTCTCAAACACAAGGTAAAAGACAGGAGACAAGATCACTAGGGCAGCCATGCAAGAGACTAGAGTCCAAACCAATGCTTCCTGCAGTCACTTAACCTCTCTCAGACAGGTCAGAAAACATTCTACGAACCGAGGGCAAACAAGGAAAAGAGACAAGTGCACACATGCACTAGGGTTCTCCTGGGTGAAACCTGGGCCTCAGACTTGGCCAAGCCCTCCTTCCGGCCACGCCAAGAGCACCTTACAGGTGTCATTTAGTGTTCTGTCACAGTTTGGAGCTGCTCATTTGACATATGTCCTTTCCTCTGTCAGACTCCAACATCCACAAAGGCCAGAAGGACACTTAAGAAGTGTGTGAGATGGATGAGCATGGCAGGGAAATGTTCCCCAAATGCCAGGGAAGGAGAGACTCAGAGGTCTTGGGCACTAAGGTCTGTTACTAGAAGAATGTGTGATAAGAGCTATAGAAAGACTTGTCAGCCTTAACACCACTTAGAAAACATGCTAGCACTCCTGTCTCCTTCCTGAGCCACTTTCCTACCTAAATTCACACTTCTTCCTGTGAATTTTACTTCCATTCTAAGTGGGGAATATAAACATACAATGCCACACCCCCATGCAGTAATCAGGTCTACCAACCAAATCCACTAAGTCTATCCTTCCTCTCTCTTGGTTCAGATCGTTTGTTGCTTATAGTAGCTTAAATTATGTACCTAGTCATCTTCCTTCCAATTTACCTTCTAACAGGCCTCAAGCAAGCAGGGACAGGAAGGAAATAAGAAGCATCTAAACTTTAGTTTATGACCAAGTTGTTTCTATTAAAAACAAAATCCCCTAGCCGGGCGGTGGTGGCGCACGCCTTTAATCCCAGCACTCGGGAGGCAGAGGCAGGCGGATCTCTGTGAGTTCAAGGCCAGCCTGGTCTACAAGAGCTAGTTCCAGGACAGGAACCAAAAAGCTACGGAGAAACCCTGTCTCGAAAATCAAAAAAAAAAAAAATCCCCTTCAGTCAGGGGCTAGGAGGGTATCTTGAGGAAAGCACCCGCCTAGCATCCTCAAGGTACTGACTTCTGTCCACAGCATTGCAAAAGCAAATAGACAAAACAAAACCCCACCTGTGATGTTGGCACAGTAAGGTCATGCTTCAAAGCATTGTTCTGCTCTGCTCAAAACAGCCAGCAGTAACAGGCACTGCCAGTCTCAAAAATAAAAAAATGAAATAAATAAATAAACTCCACAGAGAACTCCAAGTGAGAAAGCCACATGTGTGGCTCAAGTCACAAGGCTGCAGGGCTCTTGATCTGGCAGATGGGATTTCAGCATTCTTGGGTGAGAGATCTAGACCTGATCTCCCTTTGATAAGAGAGGTCCGTGTTTGCAAAAAGAAAGTGAGAAAAGGACAGATCTCCCTGCTCTCCGGGATACAGCCATTCCTAACTATTTATTTGGACCTAGAAGCAGTCTTAACACATGGAAATAAGGTAAGTTACCTACAGGCTCAAGTTTGGATCTGCAACACATTAATTTTAACTGCAGGGCTCAAACTCCAAGTCACTTCGATAAGGTCTGTACTGGAGGCCAGAAAGGAACACGGTGGATGATATGAGCAGCTAAGATGAAGGCAATATGAGCATGCATAGCTGTAGGAAGAGCCTCCTACTCAATGAGCCGGAAGCCTTCCCTCTACAACACATTAGACAGTCAACAGGACTAATTCTACTCCAGACAAAATATGTCTATAAGATCTTTTACAAAAATCAATATCCTATAGGATTTTAAATTTTTCCTTAAAAGATTTTTAAATAAACCATTGAGAAATTAACACAGGGCAGAGAAGATGATCAGCATGTAAAAGTGTTTTGTCTTATTTTTTTGCCCAAGCCTGACACCTGAGTTTGATCCCTGCAACCCACACAAAAAGCGAATATGGTGGTTCACATCTGTAATCCCAGCACTCCCACAGTGAGATGGGAGGAAGAGTCAGGAGAATCAACGAGAAGCTCATGGTCCAGCTAGCACAGAGTGGCAGAGCGACTGAAACAAGAGAAACCAGCCTCAAACAAGGTAGGAAGAAGGAACTGAATCCCAAAAGTGGTCCTGGCCTCCATACACATGCATGTGCACATACACACATACGCACACACATTAAAAACATGCAAGACTCACAAATATACATAAGAATATGGAGTTATGAAACAAAATAAAAACGAGCATAAATGAGAGCAGGTGATATGATGGAATCAAATAATAAACATCTCAGCTACGAAACTACAATCAAAATTGGGATTAAAAATAAAAACAAAATGCCTTTAACATCTTAGACTCAGACAGCTGAAGAAAGACTTGATGGAGGTAAGCAGCAAAGTATTCAAGGCACAGCAGAGGTCACAAGATAAGAGTAATTAAAAATCACAAAGGACAGATAGAAAGACCCCAATATTCATACAGAAGTTTCAAAGAAGACAGTTTTAGAAAAACCATGTTCAAAAAGACAAGTAAGTGCTGGGATTTACAGGACAGTCCTGATCTGCAAGCCTGGCCAGAACCCCTGACTGGGAGTCACAGGCCCCAGGGGAAGAAACTACTCCTACTATTTTACTAAACTGACAACAGTATCTAAATGCCTTCTCAGTTTGCCTGTGCCATAGACCAGAACAGTTCTCGGGCCTCATCAGAGAAGCTTCTCCGTGCAGAGATGAACAACTCATCAAAGAGCAGAGAATAAGAGACTTTGGAGGGCTCGGCCATAAATGGAACATCTGCATCATACTCTCTCCTCCCAAGGACCATCATAGGAGAGAGGACCCGGAGAACAAAACACTGCCTTCTGGACACAAAAGGTGAACTTTCGAATTCACAATAGTGTGATTGCCTAAACAAGATCTTTGCAAGATCAAGCCAGTCATTCCCGCACGGAGGCAGAAGGAGGGCGTGAAGCCACACCCCTAACTGAGGAGCTAAGCACAGCTGATGGCTTCTCGGGGAAGGAGAGTCAGTTTGCTTTGAGGGTGTGGTCTCTTGTAGGTAGACATTCTAGTGGAAGACCAACATCTAGCACAAACTGGAATCAGTGGACTAGTAAAGAGAAAGAAAAGGAGCTGAGGTTGGGAGGGAAGGAAGGAAGTAACTGGAGGGGATCTAGAAGGAGTTAAGGGAAGGGGAAAGGGTGAATATGATAGAAATAAGTTGTATGTATGTATGAAGGATTCAAAAAATAATAAAATAGTACATTAAAAATTGTTTTCTGCTGGGTAGTGGTGGTGCACTCCTTTAATCCCAGCGCCCGGGAGGTAGAGACAGGTGGATCTCTGTGAGTTCAAGACCAGCCTGGCCTACAAAGCAAGTTCCAGGACAGGTTTCAAAGCTACTGGGAAACCGTGTCTCTAAAAACAAAACAAAAAAAATTGTCTTCTTCTAGGCATATTTGTGTATATCTGGAATCCCAACATGATCAAAAGTTCAGACCAGCCAGGGCGACACAGGAGACTTAGAGCAAATCTGAAAGTGGATTGGTGAGAAGGCTCAATAGGTAAAAGAGTTTGTTGCCAGCCTGATAACCTGAGTTCTAGCCTCAGGATTCACATGGTGGAATAACAAAAATAACAAATTTATTATATGTATTTGGTGTGTGTATGTGCATGCCCAAAGGTAGGAGTCAGTTTGCTCCTTCCACCATGTGGGATCTGGGAGGTGGACCCAGGTGATCAGGCTTGGCAGCAAGTGCTTTAGCTACTCTACTGCCACCACCCAAAATCTTTTTAATTAAAAAATTCCAAGGCTGGAGAGATGGCTCAGCGGTTAAGAGTATTGCCTGCTCTTCCAAAAAGGTCCTGAGTTCAATTCCCAGCAACCACATGGTGGCTCACAACCATCTGAAATGAGGTCTGGTGCCCTCTTCTGGCCTTCAGGCATACACGCAGAAAGAATATTGTATACATAATAAATAAATAAATAAATATTCCAGCCCTGTGGTGGTGGCATGCGCCTTTAATCCCAGCACTCAGGAGGCAGAGGCAGGTGAATCTCTGTAAATTCAAGGCCAGTCTGGTCTACAAAAGCTAGTTCCAGGACAGGTGCCAAAGCTACAGAGAAACCCTGTCTCAAAAAACAAACAAACAAACAAACACCAAAAAACAAAAAAAAAAAAAAAGAGGAAAAAGAAAACTCCAAAGGCTTAGTGATAGTGCTTGCAGCAGGCTTGAAGTCTCGGCTTCCACTCCCTGCACTACAGAAGGAGAGTGGGGGAATTAACCACCATGCAAAGCTTGTAAGAAGAAATCTATACCTATAGCCACTGCACGAAAATAGGAGAAGCACAATGTGAGGTCCCAGATGGTATCGAGAGATCGAGAAAGAAGAAATGATTGAATTAAGCCAAGGTCATTGATGTCCTATATCTGGGCAGCATTTTTCTTATTAAGGAAACTATAAATTACGGGGATGGAAAGATGTCTCCAAAGGTCCAGGCTCGAGTTCTAGCATTCACATGGCGTTCACAACTGTTTATAACTGCAGTTCAAGAGGATCTGATGCCCTCTTCTGGCCTCTGCAGACACTGAACACACATAGTGCACAGATATAATGCAGGCTACACACCCATACACGTTTTCTTAAAAAGGAAAATTACTAGTGACGAATAGTTGTCTAAATAAGATATTTCATAGTTAAACCTACTGTCTGTGGAGTGAGATCCCTTGGACTGTTAAACCAATTACTATAATCCTTAGCTATAGTTTCCTGTTGGTTGACTAAGTCCACGTAGATGACCAAAATTAACCTTTTCGTTCTCTTGTCAAGGCAATTTGAGAACCTGGTGTTTGGGGTCACTTGACTTGGGAAGAGCTTCTGGCTCCTCCAGTCTCTTTCACAACTAGTCAGAGATTTATTTATTATATAGTGTTCTGCCTGCATGTATGCCAGGCCAGAAGAGGGCGCCAGATCTCACTACAGATGGTTGTGAGCCACCATGTGGCTGTTAGGAATTGAACTCAGGACCTCTGGAAGAGCAGCCAGTGCTCTTAACCTCTGAGCCATTCTCCCAGTCAAGGCCTTGCTTCACTGTGGCTTTGTCTGGAAACATGGACAAAGTTATTCCTCTGTGTTGAGCCTCCTTTTTAGAGTGGACACTGGTGAGTAGAGTCTCCATATTTAAGATAAAGATTAGCGTAGAAGCTAACAATCCAGTCACTTCTAGACATGAGGCTTTGGATTTGGCTGTGGGCTAAGAGATGGGATGCCTTCTGCCTCCCCGACTCATCACCCCTTTTGTTGAGTTATAGAAACACCTAGCTCCAATGACACATGAACATTTTCAGAGCTGATCTTCTGGGGTCCAGCGGATGGATACAAAAAATCAAACATGACCTTGTATTGTGTTTTTGTAGAATTAAGAAGGCTCTCCATGAATAGGGAATTAGAATAACATCTCTGGACAACATATCCAGATAATTCTGTGAAGGGATAATAGAAGCATTGTGAATCAGACAACAGCTAGCTCAAAACTATTATCAACCATCAAAACTGTGCTTCTGGGTACAGCAATGGGAGTCCATTAGAACATGTCTTCTTGCTGAGAAAGTACCAAGGCCTCTTCTATAAATGAGGACAGGGAATTATAGGTGACAGATTATAATTCTGTTAATATTGTCTTATAAAAAGAGAGTTGAGGTAAAAAAAAATAAAAATAAAAAAGTAGGCCAAGCCCTGAACTGGCTGATCCTTTATTTACCTGATGGAAACACAACCGAGTAGAACTGAAGACCACAGTGTCTTCTTCATCTTAACCACTCCCTGGCTGTGAGCGAGGGTTAAGAGCAGAGTCAGTGTGGTCTGGCTAACTCCACCTTGAAGAAGGTTCTGGGGAGGAGTTATGCAGGATGCTTCTTGGAGAAGGAAGCAATGAAGGTAAGGAACTGGACTCCTAAAGAGGGGTTCGCTGAGGTCTGCAGGTTCCAATTGTGGAGTTACATATCCATGTGTCCTCATGTGCCCTGTTTGTCCTCCCTCCTGGGCCCAGCTCACCAGTAAGGAGTCAGGGCCTGGGAAACTGCAAAAATTCCCTTCCAAGTCCTTTAGTACCTTGGCTCAAGGTCTTCATGCAGTGCTATGCTAGTAAGCTGGCCTCCCTACCTCTCTAGTGGCCTGGCCTTGGGCCTTCCGCAGCACATGGGAGCACCTAGTGTCAGGAGTATGTCTGAGCCTGCCTACAGAATGCAGGGGACAGGAATGAAGGCACTGAAGGCTCTGAGGTCTCCTGGTTCTCTCTTAGCCATTATGCCCTTTAATTTTTAATGTCAGCCTTCCAAGAGTACTTGGTTTTTGTTGTTTTATTTTTGAGACAGGGTTTCATATAGCCTAGACAGACTTGAAACTTGCTATGTAGCTGAGGCTAGCTTTAAGCTCCTGATCCTTCTGCTTCCACATCTCAATACCTTAGCTTTACAGTGTGTTCTCTGTACCAAGTATATGACTCATGACTATCATTCCTGTACTCTCCACCTCCCCATTTTTTGAGATAAGGTCTTTTACTGAACTTAGAGCTCACTGACTAGGCTAGACTGATTGGCCAGTGAGCCCAGGAATTGTCCTCCTGTCTCTTCAGTGCTAGGATGTACAAGCAGATATCACAGTGTCTGACTTTTTTATGTGGCTACTAAGGACTGAACTCAGGTTCTGATGCTTGCACAACAAATATTCTCTGCAAAACACTATTTGACATTTTTACTGGGACACATACTCATGCTTATTTACTTAAACTTCGGAGAGTGACTTTACTTGATAAATCTTAGCCGTTTAATCTCTAAATCCCAAGAATCTGTCTATGGCATCAATTGACCATGTAAGTATAGGGGAGATGGTTTTATTAGCATTTCTTTCTGTGTACTAGGATCAAATTCAGGGCCTCACGCACACTGACAAATAGTCTACTACCACTGAACCAAATCCCCAGCCCTAGATGCACTTACTAAAGTCCCATACTCTTTCTTTGATTTGTAAGGTCCTTTCTAATTAGAACATTTAAATGTTGACTGCTTGCCACTTAGCTCTTTGTTTTTTATACAATGCTGTTTGTTTTTATATACTAGATCATTTCTCACTATGTATGAGTGAGGTTTTTTTATAAAATTTGCAACTGCTAATTAAATTAGATAAATCTGAATTAAGTGAACCCCTAATATTCTTGGCAGAAACAAAGAGAAAATAATTAAGCAAATTTTTAGAATAAAAGAAAAATTGCCAAACAATAAAATGGCCTCGGTCACTGGCATTAACTGATTGGCAAATGTGGAAAAAAGTCACCATCACCATCAGCTTCTGCCACCCTCTGCTGCAGTTAATACCTGACTGGAGTTGTTCCCTGGGCACTAGTGTGTTGTCTTGGCTTCTTCAGTCTGGCACTACAGATGTGGTGGGATCTCTGAGAGGTATGCCAAGTGGAGGACTCAGGTTAACTTGGGAACGTGTCCTTGTAAGGAACCCAGCAATCTCTGGCTTCCTGCTTTAAGATGGATTTCTCCTTCCCAGTCTTGTGATTCCGGCTTCCATAAAGTTGTCTCTAGGAGTGTTAGTACCTTACTTCCGTATCTCTAGAACTGTGAGAACAATTTTCTTTATAAAATTGCTTGCTCTTGGTATTTCATTGTAATAATAAAAGTGGGATTAATACTCCCCTGTATTTTCCTTTTATTCTTTTTCATATCATCATTTACAATGGTAATTTTAGAT